TCGGCTTTCGGTCTCGGTGCCGCCGGGGGAGGGCCCAGCTCGGGCCCCGCCGCGGAGACCGACCAGCGCGACACGGTGGAAGGCCACAGCTCGCGTCTGCCACACGGTCCAGGCCTCCCAAACGGGGCCTCCCAGGTCGGGCGGCCTTTTCGAAGGTTTTCGAGACTTGGTGAGGCCTCCATCAGCTGCGCCTCGTCGAGAGCGTTCTGGGGATGTCGGAATCGTCCCGAACGGCCGCCTTTAGGCCACAGTTATGATCCGAAATCTCACAGTCCAGGCCTCCCAAATGGGGCTGGAGTAGATGGGGTCGGAGGATCGCGCTGCATTCTCAGGGGAAGGCGACGCAAAGTTGCGACGGCTAATCTTTCGTAACGTTTGGCCTCTGGAGGCCGTTCCCGAGCCCCAGGATTGTCTAAAACGACTCAGAATTAAAACCGGGCCCAGGGGAAGGAGTCCAAGGCCCAGGTTGCTGGCAGCGTCGGGGGAGAGGAATCGCCGATGCATCGGCGATGCGGCGCGATCCAGACCGCGTCGGCGGTGCGGTGCGATCTGTCGGCCCCATCCACACGCGCCTCATTCTGAGACGTTCAACGTCTTGACTGTTTCAATGCAGGGCCGTCTTTTTGATGCTGGGTCATTTTTTGACGCTCGCGTGGCCCTGGTGGGCCTTTGGAACCCGAAAGCGACGAAGCATGGCCGTCTTGTTTTTTTTGCAAAGCTTTAGAGGTCTGCGTTTGGGAGGCCTTTAGGCAATACACGCTGGCAGTGGAGGTGCAGCCCCCGCCTGAGTGCTGCCGGATCTGTGGCGCCGTCCGCTCGTGGCCGGCGGTCGGCGCACCTGGAGCGGTCCAGGCTGGGCCCCTTGGCGCCTAGGAGGGCTTGTAAGAGGCGGTGAGCAAAAGATGTTGGGGGTTCGCGGGTTCGAGGGGTGCTGGGGTTCGAGGAGGAGGAAGGAGGAGGAGGAGGACCAGGGTAAACCCAGGATGCAACACCGATGCTGCAATGCACCCTCCCCCATCCCAAGGGCCCAAGTCCCCGCCTCAGCAAGGCTTCATCTTCACTACAAGAAGCGCCCTCCTGAAAGACCAGCACCTTGTGGTCCTTCCGTTCAGGCGAGATCCCCTTCTTGAAAAGGAGCTGCCTAGCATCCTTCTTGCGAGTAGTGAGGCATGCTAACATGTACGTATGATCATGTAGTTGAGCGAGGTGTCCAGACCATCCCCATCTGTAGAACTGTTGGAGAAGTCTCCACTTCTGGTCATGAACATCGAAGAAGTCTGAAGCGAGACTCCCAGTTAGAAAAGTAATCACCCTCCCTTACATCCGAGCAGTTGGTACACATTTTCAAGTTTCTGGTTTGGACAACTTAGGAAGTCTCAGGTGGTACCTCCCTTTTGGAAAGGAACCGTTATCCATCCTCGTACCTGCCTTGAAACGGTTTTGCGCGGCGCTAATGTGAGAGCCGCCATTTTGAAAGCGATCGTCCTTCGATCCTTGCAATCACTGCAAGCTGTTAAAGCGAATGTGCGCGGCGCGAAGGCGAGAGCCGCATTTGGCAAACGATCCTCATCGATCTCTCTAGCTGTTGCAAACTTGAAGGCGACTGTGCGCAGCGCTAAGGCGGGACTAGTTTTAAAGCGACCTCCTCAGAGTCTTGTTGCTGTTGCAGACATTTGTCACGAATGTGCACGGCGCTACCGCGAGAGCCCCATTTTGAAAGCGAGTTCCGTAGATCTTTGTAGCTGTTGCAGACCAAGACGAGCATGCGCAGCGCTACGGCGAGGTTACCATTTGGACGATGACCTGTGCACCCTCTTTCTCCTTCTCTTCCACCTGCCGCTGCTCCTTCTCCTCCTCCTCCTCCTACTTCCCTTCCACCAGCCGTGCTTCTTGGCCCCGCAACGCACACACGTCGTACAAGTTCGCGACAGCTTCACGGAGGTAAGGCGCCTTCCTTCCAACATGGGGCTCTCGCCCTAGCGCCGCGCGCATTCGTCTTACAAGCTTGCAGCCGTCACGATGATGGAGGACGGCTACTTTCCAAAATTGGGCCCCTTGCTTTAGGCGTCCTTCAAGCTGTATGGCTCGCGGGCATTTTTTCAAAATGGGGATTTTGTTAGAGAGCCTGCCAAAACACAATATCCAGAGGTGTGAACTCGTGCAGCAGCTACACGGGTGGGGTGCCGTCCTTCCTCAAGACGGGATCTCGCTGGGCATCATTTTGCTATATGTGTATATATGTATATGTACAGATGTTTTGCCTTCTCGCATTGGTGGGCTTGTTTTCCACCGCCACCACCATAAGTAGGAGGGGGAGGGAGTCCTCCTCCTCCTCCTCCTCCTCCTCCTTCTCCACCGCCTCCTTCCCCCCTCCAACTTATGGTGGTGGTGGTGGTGGAAAACAGGCCCATCATCGCATGTCTGATTACGCGATAGAGGAAGGATGCCAGGCAGTTCCTTTTCAAGCTGGGTCTGTCGGTTGAGCGACAGGCCCACAAGGTGCTGATCTTTCAGTGGGGGCGCGTACTGTAGTGAAACACACTGCTTGTGGGGAGATCTCAGGAGGGGACTTGGGACGGGAGGGTGTATTGCAGCATCGTTGATGCATCTTGGGTTTCCTCCCTCTCCATCCCGTTTCCTTGTACATAATTCTTCTTGTCGCGCTCTCCGGCGTGTCGGTAGGGCGGGCCGGGCGCTTCGCACGAGCTTTCCTCACAACGTATGTTCCTGAAGCTTGGTGTTTCCAATAGGTACCCCGATGGAGGGGGAGAGGGGGGTTCAAAATGGAGCTCTCGGCTTCACGCCGTGACCACTCGTTCTGAAGGATCCAGCAGCCACGCGGACGGAAGGGGGTCGTTTTCAAAACCGGTCTCTCGCCGCAGCGCCGCGCACGTTCTTCTTACATGTTCCAGTGGCTTCAAGGTTGAAGTAGGGTATAGTTTTCAAAATGGAGCTCTCGCCCCAGCGCCGCGCACAGTCGCTTGCAGCAGATCAAGAATTGATGGGGTCGTCTTCAAATGGAGACCTCGCCGGCACGCCGCGCATGTTCATTTTAACAGCTTGTAGCAGTTGCAGGGACGGAGGGTTTTACACTTGGGGTCTCGCCTTGGCGCTTCGCACAATCGTCGTTCAACAATCCCAGCAGTTTCAGGGATGGAGGCGGCTCATTTCTAGAATTGGGTCCTCGCCGTAGCGCAGAGGGCATTTATTTCAAAAGCTTGAAGCAGCTACAATGATGGAGGGCGTTTCGCTTCCAACTGTAGCCTCTCGCTCGTTGACTCTTCCACGTTCATGACTGAACGGGCCAACATGTGCACCAACTGCACGAATGGGGGCGGTCTTCTGTCAAAACGGGGATCTCGATGGACGCCTTGTTGAACTGCAGAGGTGCAGCTCTTCGCATTCCTTCCGGTCCCCAGGCCATTTTTGACTGATTACTTCCGACTACTCGATGGACACCTCCGTTGAGCTGCAGAATGTGCAGCTCTTCGCAGTCCTTCCAGCTCGAGGGTGCGAGGCGGCTCTCTTTCAAGACGGGACCCTCGCCCGAGCGGCAGGCCCACGCGGTGCTGGCCTCTCAGGGCGGCGCTCTTGGTGTTGAGACAGAGGTCTCGTCGACGCGTCGATGGTCTTCTCTGGTTCTCCCCCTCCTCCCCCTCCCCTTCCTCCTCTCTGGCCCTCCCCCTCCTTTTGTCTTCTCTTCGACGGTTTTCTCCTCCTCTCCCTCCGTCCTCTTCCTAGTTCCGCCTTCCCGTTTCCGTTCAACTCCCCTCCCTTCTCATCCTCCCCGTCCGCCCCCTCTCTCATCCTCTCCCTCTCCCCCCCGCCTTCTCCCTCCTGGCTTTTCTCTCCTTTCTAGTTTCTCGTTTCTCCTGCATCCTCCCTCGCTCACCCTTCCTCCGTCGTCTCTCCTCCCTCGCTCATCGCCCCTCCCTGCTCCACCTCACTCAACATCTACACGCTATGAGTACTACTCTACTCTTTCCCCTGACCCTGTCCGGTAGATCCGGCGCTCCCCTCAATGTCTGTTTTTTTCCACAGGATTGGGCCGACTTATTTGTTCCTGTGTGTTCTTACACTCTGATTGATTTCGGTGTTTCAAAAGGGTGCTCTCGCTGCAGCGTGGGCCTCATTTTCGGATCGGCGCTGTGCTCCCGTGGTTCCGAATGGCGCTCTCGCCCCAGCGCGAGCCACTTTTCTGAATCCCACAGGTCTTGCAGGTCCCACAGGTCTCGCAGGCACCACATGTCCCGCAGCCCCTCAGGACCCACAGGTGTCACTGGTCGCCCCGCAGGTCCCACAGATATCAGCGGTCCGGCAGGTTCCACAGGTCCCACAGGTCCCACAGGTCCCACAGGTGTCGCAGGTCTCATAGGTCCCACAAGGGGTCCCCCAGGTCCCGCTGGTGCCACAGGTCCCATAGGTCTCGCAGGTCTCACAGGTCCCACGATCCCCACAGGTCCCACAGGTCCCACAGGTCCCACAGGTCCCACAGGAGTCGCAGGTCACACGCCCACAGGCTACAGAGGCCCCAAGGTTGCACAGGTCCCACCAGTACCGCAGGTCCCATAGGTCCCATAGGTCCCAGAGGTTCACAGTTCCAACCTGCCCCGCAGGTCCCACGTGTCCCACATGTCCCACACGTCCCACAGGCCACAGAAGTCCCACAGGTTCCACAGGTCCCACAGATCGCACAAGTCTAACAGTTCTCACCTGCCCTGCAAGATCCCACAAGTCACCTTTGCTGCTATTCGGGTGCTTTGCTTGGGTAATGGGGTTGCAGGTCGGCAATGGTCCGCGTCCGCGGATAGAGAAAACAAAGAGCGCAATTGGCAGGGATGGGAGGGAGGGATAGGATGTCAGATGTGGCGCGAGCGCACACAGCTTGTCCCTCGCCGCTCGCCCCTCGCCTCTCTGTCCTCCATTCTCGCTCTTCCCCTCGCCCTCCCCCCTCTGTCCCCCTCCTCCCTATTCCTCCTCGCCGTTCCTGCTGGGCGAAGGAACGAGTTTTCGTACCACATGCTGCAGGGCAGCAAGTGGGTCCTGAACGAGACGAGCAGCACCCTGGAGAGCCCCCCGCTCCCCCCTCTTGCACGTCCATCCTCCCCCTGTCTGGGAAGAGGGGGAATGCAGAGCTCAGGAGGGGGAAAAACACACAGACACAATTGACCGTCCATCCCCAGGAAAATATGGGAAAATATGGGAAGTGGGGGAGAAGACGAACATACAGACCATGTGAGAAAAGGGATATTGGTATCGTTTTTTTTTTTTTTGGTGTGCCCCATGGCCCCTTGAAGAGCACATGACTAGGAGGCGATCGCTCGAGGTTGAACTATCCGCGCGAGGTCAGAAACCAATGCCGACGTCTGCACGACACGACCCTGCTGTACGGCAGGTTCGCGCTGTGTTGACCTGGCGGCGACCCTGGCGCGGGCGTTCATGTTCGAACGCCGCCAGCGGGCCAAAGTCGGCCGACATCGGACGATCCGCGCTGTCGGACGAGCCGCGATGGCTCGAGGTGGAAGGACTCGCGGTGTCAGACACCAACGCCGAATCTATCACGACACGCATCTATCGGGTTCGGAAGGCGCTCGCTGTTCCTTGGGTCCTTCCATGGTTGTCCCTCAAGCGCTCCTGTGCACCCAGGCTCTCTTGGGTTCAAACAGCGGCTTCGTTCATCATTCTGCGTTTCTCGTGGTAGTAGCTTGACTGTACCGCCTTCTCTCCCCTCCTCCATGCCCTCCTCCCCAGCTCACTGCCTGCAACTTCTCATCCTCTCGGCGTGCTCGGACACGCGCTGCTGCTCCTCCTCTCCTCCTACTCAGTCGCCCAACTGTGTGCTATTATGCTAGCCTGCAGGGTGGGCCCTCTCCTTTTCTGTGCACTTCGGCTTTGTCTTCGATGAGAGGCGTTTCGAAGCGCCTTCGGACCAGCTCACCCGAGTTGGACTTGCGTTCGCATGGTTGCCTCCCTCCCTGACTCCCTCCATTTCTCCCTCCCCCTCCTCTTACCCTTACCCTCACCCTTTCCATTCTCAAGTGCAAGCCTTCGAGACTGATCGGCAAGGGCCTCCACCTCAAGAAGGCTGGGGCCACAGCTGTGCAACGAGACCCTAAACAGCAACGCTGCATGAGAACACGCACGTTAAGTCAACATCAAAGGGGGGCGTGCTTGGTGTGGGTGGGCATGCGCACGGCACGGCACGCGGGCACGGCACGGCACGCGTGTACCGCACGGCACGGCATTTTCTCGCATTCTGGATTTCAGGCGTTGCACGTGCGCTCGCGCGGCACGGCACGCGGGCACGGCACGCGGGCACGGCACGCTGGCACGACACGGCAAGGCACCCGTTTCGCATTCCAGAGCTCAAGCACATCGCGGCACGCGCACGGCCCGGCATTTCTTCCGGCACGGCGCCTTCTCCGCATTCTAGAGTTCAGGCACGGCTCGGCACGCGCACGGCACGGCACGCGGGCACGGCACGGCACGTCATGGTTTTGCACACGTTTCGCACACTGGAGACCAAGGGAGGATGGCACGGCACGACACTGTTTTCGCATGCTGAAGGCCAAGCACGGCACGGCACACTTCGCATTCAGCGGTTCAGGAATGCATTCTCTTATCGCGTAATTCGCTGTTTAGGGAATTGCACTCCTTCCCTCCTCCCTTCCTCCTTCACTCCTCTCTCACTCCTCCCTTCCTCCTCCTCCTCCTCCTGCCAGCGCCTCCCGCCCCTCCCTCCTCATCCTGCCGCTCCCCGCCTCCCCCCCCGCCCCGCCCAGACGCACACCATCTTTCCGTTCGTGCTGAGCCTGGAGCATCGCAAGAGGGGGCGGAGCCAGCTGCAGGCCATCAAGGCGCGGGCAGGGTGGGGACCCGGGCTCTCCCGGGCTCTTTTCGATCCGATCGATCCGGTCTCTGGTCCGATTCCGATCCAGTGGCCTGGTCCGATCGATCCGATCGATCCGGTGGCCCGGTCCGATTCCGATCTTCAGACGACCCCGTGCGGCCCGGTGCTGGCATGGCGCTGCCGTGCATCCTGGCGTGTCCGATCCGATTCGATTCCGACTCCGTGCCGATGCATGCCGATCCGACGCACGCACGTTCCGTTCCGATCCGATTTCCCGACTCGGTGCTGACTGATCCCAGGGGGCAGTGTGGGCACCTGGACTTCGGGCGGACTCGGATCGTTTCTCGTCGATTGCGGCCTCTGGGGGTCTCGGCCTCAAGAGGCAGCGTTTCAGGGCCCAGGGTCATCACGCATAGTCCTGGGACGACAGGACTGCCTGCGGGGAGGGGATCGAGTCGATGTCGATGATCCCCGGACGTACGTTAATCCAATCTGTGTTTTCCCCGTTCCTCTGCACCGATAGCACGCAGACTTTGCGGGCCCTGATTGCACCGCCTGCGTCGTATTGAACGGCTTCGGTAGGCAAGCACACGTTGGCGCAAACATGCATTCTGAACATCATCGACAAGACTTCGGGGGTCCGCGGATTGAAGCAAATACATCCGTCAGATTCCAGAGGATCGAGCAAGCAAACAATCGCGCCAGAATCTTTGTTGTTTCTTGCCCCCCGTCTGGGCCGCTGGAGATCGGTCCCGAGTAAGTCGAGAAGCGGGCCATCGATGGACTCTGGGAGCCATTTTGTTCCTCCAGTGATGACAAGATGATGCGCCATCAAGTGCCCCAGGACGGGTACAGGGACTGGGCTTCCAAAGCAGATTTTCGTCAGGGACCAGGGGATCCAGGCCTCGCAAGTGAGACCGGAGCAGATGGGGTCGGAGGATCGTGCCGCATCGCCGATGCATCGGCGATGCGGCCTCCAGTTGGAGACCAGTTTGCTTCATCACTGCGTCGCTGGTGCTTCTGCGATGCATTGGCGATGCGTGCGAGCTTACGACCCCAGTCATATTCGAGCGGGGCGCTAGATGTGTGTGTGTGTGTGTGTGTGTGATGGAGGGTTGTGTCAGCGTTTTGGTGCAGGGGCCCAAGGGGACGTTTTGCGCTCCTGCTGGAGTGCTCCGTAGCCGAACGTCTACATCGGAGGTTGATGGAGAACCCGCACCCTCCCAAGTCGATTAGCGAACTGTCCTTTTTCGATTCTCGAAAGGCTGTTGCGCCTGCAATTTTTGGGCCTGCGTCCGCCTGGTCTGGTCCTGTTTCGTTGTCACGTAATACAGGGTGTCTTGCCAATTGGCGGCTCTGTCCATCCCCGACCAATCGACGGCGTGCATGCAAATGGATGCTCACTGAAAACAAGAGATCGCCCACTGCGGGCGCACGGGATGCGCAGAGCTGATATCCATGCAGCTGATTGTCTCCAGGGTCCTTCGACGATTGTCCTTTTGCTAGCAGTCGCTCGTGATGCGCAAGGGGAGCTTCGTTTCACCAGTCAGCTGGATCACACTGAGTAGATAATTTCTCATTCTCATTCCTTGTTGGATGAGTCCTGCGATGTACGGCTGTCCGACACTGATGCTTGCAGCTTCTCGTGAGTGAGATACTTGGTTAACAATGCAAGCCCAGTGCCATGTTTGCGTCTCCTTTGCGGCGCACGGAACATATTTCTTGACGTTTCGCGTACCCTTCCCCAGTCCCGGTGGTCTCGCCCTTGGAATGGTTGCAGTTCAGCCGCCTGACACACCTGGCACCTCTTGCAGCTCTGCCTCAGTCCCCAGCGTCTACCTCGGCGTCCCTCGGCGGCAGTTTCGGCGGCCGTTAGTTTGCCCGCTTAGGTAATTAGATTTGGCTCGTAGCCCGGGCTGACTTCGGACGCCGCCTGTGCTTCCGCTTGCGGCCGCGACGGAAGAAAATACCCCTCCCCAGCCCAGGCAGCAGCTTTGCTCAGGCGAATGGCATTGGTCAGGGAAGTGGGGAAGCATACAGTGAAGCAACGATCTGGGGAAGCTGTCAAATCGAAGTTTGGGATCAGCCTGAGCAGGCCTAAGAGTGAACGGGTGTTCGGACCTGTCGAACCAGGACAAGGAGGCGGGCGCAGGAAAAGGAGGGTGAGGAGGAGGAGGAGGAGGAGCAGGAGGAGGAGCAGGAGGAGGAGCAGGAAGATAATTTGGAGGATAGGGAGGATGAGGAGGAGGCGCAGGAGGAGGAGGAGGAAGAGGAGGAGGAGGAGGAGGACGAGGAGGAGGAGGAGGAGCAGGAAGGATGAAGGAGGAGTTAGGTGAGCAGGAGGAGGAAGGAGGGTAACAGCAGGATGATGAGCCTGATTGAACACGTTCTCACTCAACTTCTGGTTAACCCTGATTCGGAGGAGGAGAAGGGGGTGGAGAAGGGGAGGAGGAGGAGGAGGAGGAGGAGGAGGAGGAGGAGGAGGAGGAGGAGGAACAGGAAGTTGTTGGTGACGGGACTGAGGCCAAACGAGAACGCTCACACAAAATCGGGGGAGGAGGAGTATGAGGAGGACACGGAGGAGGAGGAGGAGGAGGATGAGGAGGAGGAGGGTGGAGGAAGAGGAGGAGCAAGATGAGGAGGATGAGGATGAGACGGATCGGGGAGAAGGCAATGGTGAAACGACGATCCAAACATACATACATGTGTAGACCTTTGCTCTGGAAGCCTCATGGAGGCCTCTTGGAAACATCTTGGAGCCCTCTTGGGGCCATTTTCGGAGCTTCTGGAGCACTCTTCGGGGTGTCTTGGGGCCTTCTTGGGAGCCTCAGGGGCCTTCTCAGTGCCATCTCGAAGGACATCGATCAGAGAAGGAAAGGTCCCCTATCTCCGTCGCTCTCTCCGGATACGGAACAGTTCCATTCGGACAGACGCGTTTTCGTGGTATTTGGTGTCCGGCCTTTGATGAATTGCTGGTAGTATATTGGTAGCGCATCTATTTTCAGACTGCCGAATTACACGGAAGGATCGTGTTTCAGTCAGGGGTAGGATGATCACCGCTACATGTTTGCTATCGGCTGAGTCCCAGTGATGCAATGCGATCTGACCCTCGTGGCGTGGAGCTCCTTACAAGCATGGTGCCCGAGTGAACTTGATTGGCTGCGTGTGGCTTGCACTGTCAGGATGTGGCGTCGAGACAGCTTCTCAGTGGCCCAGTGATCAGAAATGTAAAGCTTTAGCTGACTGCTGATGCATTGCTTTCCACCTTGATCTCTGATGGTCGTGTGATAGTGCGCCTGCATGAGGCTGCGAGCCGCACCAGCGTGCATTGAGATTTGCGAGCAGGCGACTTTCAAATGTTCATGCGCAGCGGGTGTATACTAGTAATATGTATGCATCCCTCTAGCGAGACGGTGACGTTTGTTTTCGTCAGTCTGCTTTTGGTAATCGGAAATGACCTTGTCATGGATGGGGTGCTAGCATCATTCCGCTGTACATGAATATTAATTCTGATCACGAGGAGGATGAAGAGAACTAGGCGACGAAATAAGAGGAGGAGTTGAGGAGAATGCGTATGGCGGACGAAGGGGGGTGAAGAACAGCATGATGGTGGTGATGACCAGATGCTGGCGTTGATATTGATATCGATGTGGACGGTGATGGCGAGTATGATCATGAGGATGAGGGTGATGATAATGATGATGATGATGCTGGTGACGATGCTGCTGCTGCTGATGATGAGGATGATGATGATGATGTTGATGATGATGATGATACTGCTGACGACGACGATGATGCTGATGATGATGCTGATGCTGTTGATGATGATCATGCTGATGCTGATGATGCTGATGGTGATGATGATCACGATAATTATGCTGACGATGATGGGGCTGGTGATTTTGATGATGATTATGATTATGCGGATGATGGTGGGAATGATGATACTGGTGAGGCGTGTGTTGTAGGTGATGATGTCTGCGATGATCATGCTGATCACGATGATGATAGTAACGATGCTTACGATTACGATCTCGGCGAGGTCGATCATGATGCTGGTGCTACAAACGAGGGTAATGGTGTCGATGATGACGACGAGGATGACCATTATGATCATGCTGCTGCGACTGATGCTACTGACGATGATGCTGACGCCGATGATGTTGGTGACGACGATGGTGATGATGGTGCTGCTGAGTATAATGATGCTGCTGGTGATGCGGATGATGATGAGGATGCTGATTATGATGGTTATGATGCTGATAATGATGATGCTGATGATGATGGTGACGATGATGATGCTGATGCTGATGCTGATGCTGATGACGATGATGATGCTGCTGATGCTGATGCTGATGATGTTGTTGCTGATGATGTTGATGATTGGTATTATGATGATGATGATGATGATGGTGATGATGATGATGATGATGATGATGATGATGATAGTGATAGTGATAGTGATGATGATGATGATGATGATGATGATGGTACTGATGATGCTGATGATGATGATGATGATGATGATGATGATGATGCTGCTAACTATGATGCTGGTGAGGAGCGTGTTTGAGGTTGCGATGGTCGCGGTGATCCTACTGACCATCACGATGCTGGTGACGACGGTTACGGCGACAAGGATGATAATGAGGATACTACTCATGATTATGATGCTGCTGTTGCTGCAGATCCGGATGTTGCTGATGATGCTTATGCTGATGATGATGACGATGCTGATGCTGATGATGATGATAATGATGCTGCTGTTGACGACGACGCCGCTGGTGATGATGATGATGATGATGATGATGATGATGATGATGATGATGATGATGATAGTGCTGCAGGGTAGTGAGGATGATGACTAGTGGTGATGCTGCGGCTGCTGCTGCTGAGGATGATGATGATGATGATGATGATGATGATGATGATGATGATGATGATGATGATGATGAGGATGCTGATGATGATGATGATGATGATGATGATGATGATGAGGAGGAGGAG